CCCTGGGCCGCCAGCCGGGCCCCTCCCGTGCGCACTTGGACTCGGGCTGCGGGCCAGGCTCCCGTTACACACGGGCCAGACCACCCACAGCCCGGCTGCCGCGGGCCGCCTCCTCCAGACTGACTGCCAGGCCTGCAGCGCGCCGCCCGGACACCCGCGCTGCCACCGCGGTCCACCGCGCGCCCTCGACGGCCTGGGGCCCCAGCGATGTGGGCTCCCCCAAGAAGTGTCTGAGCCGGCCGCGGCCCCTGGGCAGTGACTCCAGCAGCTCGCCACCCACCGCGCCCCCCCCCCGGAGGGGCGGGCCGGCCTCTCACCTGCGGCGGGACCCGTCGCCCCCTCCTCCCAGAGACCTCTTCTGCTCCTGCCAGATGGCGGCCAGGTCCCAGGGGTGCCTGGCAGCCAGATCCAGCCGCTCGTTTTCTTTCTCCCATGGAACTGTTCGTTTTGCCCAGAACCCAGTTCTCTTCTCAGTTTGCATTATTTTCTTAGGTGTTTTTTGGTCAGCATTATAACTCTGGCATTCTTTTTTTTTTTTTTAAGATTTTATTTATTTATTTGAAAGAGAGGCAGTGAGAGAGAGCATGAGCAAGGAGAAGGTCAGAGGGAGAAGCAGACTCCCCGTGGGGCTGGGAGCCCGATGCAGGACTCGATCCCGGGACTCCGGACTCATGACCTGAGCCGAAAGCAGTCGTCCAACCAACTGAGCCACCCAGGCGTCCCTAACTCTGGCATTCTACACAACTCCTCAACACTACCTGGACAAACATCTTTTCCCTCTTTTCAGTAACGCTATCAAAAAAGAAATGTCTCAGTCAATATGGCACTTCTCCTTCCCTGTTTCTGTAAAGGGGTCCATGTCTTGTTCAGAAGAGCTTTCCCTGGCAATTCCATGAGTAATATTAGAGACACTATTCTCTTTGTTGACTCTTGCATATAAAACATCAAGGTTAGAATCCTCAGGTGGTCCTGGAGATGGAGACCCCACTGGCAACTGGTCAATCCCAGATGATGACTCCTTTGAACCAGTTAGGATTATTCCAAGCCTCTTAAGAAATGGATCTTTATTTTGTCTAAGGCACTGTGAGAACTCAACCAGGAGGTTACTCTGAAAAGGTTTTCTCATTTCCAAAAAGTCACTTGAATGTACCCAAATTGTCAAAGACCATGCGTCCACATAGATGATGAAACATGTCAAAGTTTTAGTTAACCCATTTTCCAGGAAACCAGCAGAATGATATAGGTGCTTTAAAAACCATTTATAGAACCTTCATTATGTGGGGACTGGGGGTAGGGAGAGAAGCATGCACAAATGAGATTGTTTATGTACAAAGTTGGTTGATGACCTATAGAACAATAAATGTATAAACTTACCTAATAAGCAGAAAAAAAGTCATTGCTCCTTTTTTTAAAAAAAGATTTTATTCATTAATTTGTCAGGGAGCAGGAGGGTGCACAAGCAGGGGGAGGGTCAGGCAGAAGGAAAAGCAGGCTCCCTGCTGAGGGGGAAGCCACTGGACCTGGGATCATGACCTGAGCCAAAGGCAAATGCTTAACCAACTGAGCCCCCTGGCATCCCTCCATTGCTCCTTGTTTATCCACAGTATAACTTTATATTTATATTTAGTACTCTAAAAAGCTTGCATTCCCTTACCAATTGTCCAGTCAAAATTAAATACCCTGAGTCAGATGACCCATAGGTGGGCTTATATGCAGTACCGTGGTGTGGTGTTTAAAGGTTGTGCCATCAACTTTTTGTCTCATTTCCAAGTTTTGGTGATTTTCCAGAACACAGATAGTAGAATAATCACACCAGTGGTTTGTTTGTTTGTTTGCTTGTTTTACTTCTTATTCCTCTCTCCATCTCTTTCCTCATTTGAACAGGTAAGCATTTGCCATTCATTTATTATGATTCACAGGACTGTACATGGAGCTGGAGGCACATTACCTGTATCACATGCCTTGACTGGTTTTTTGTTCCTCCAAATAGCGAAACCACCATTAACTTGCAGTTTGGCCTGTAATATGACAAAGTCTTGAAGTCTGGCAAAAAATTGGAGTCGCTTAACGAAATGAAGTTTTTAAAATTCACAGCGTTCTTAAAATAATTGAAAGCAGGCTAATTATGAGCTTCAAATTCAAGGTGCTGACAGTTGGCCTTGGTGGGTAAAAAAGATGATCGTTTAAAGTATATTTACTGTTCGGTTTTAAAGAGATTCTGCTGAAGTGGTTTGGAAAGTGTTTGGAAACATTTTATGGAAACGGTCTAGCATTTTCCCTACTCTGTGTGTCCCCCTGACTATAGATGGAGGGAGGTGAGCAGGGACTTCCGGGTATATTTTGAAAGATGTCAGCGCTCCCCGCTTCCTCTCCCAACAAAAATGCCCTGCAGTTTTCTCCCTCCTGCCAGCGTGACTCTTCAGGATTGTTCCTTCATCCACACTTGTTTTACCATCCCCAGTCCTTTACTGTGATAAGAATGGGAGATGGTTAATAGTTCTCACGAATCAATCCTGAGCATTTTCACAAGATTCTATAAAGGGAGAGAAGGAAGAAATGGAATTTGTAAGGGGAGAAAGCAGGCTTTTTTTCATTAGTGTCTCCCTTTAGGCTGCTGTAGTAAAACGCACCCACTTGGGTGCCCTCGACAAAAGAACATTTATTTCTCACGGTTCTGGAGGCTGGGAAAGGCAAGGTCAAGGTACAGATACATTAGGTGTCTTGTGAAGGCTCACTTCCAGGTTTGCAAATGGCTGCTTTTTTGCAGTATCCTCTCGTGCTCTTAAGAGGTAGGTAGATAGAGAGTTCTGGTCTCTTCCTCTTACAAGGGCACTAATCCCACCACGGTGGCTCTGGTCTCGTGACCTAATCCATACCTAATAAGGTCCACCAGTGCCCTCCGTCCAAATACCATCACATTGGCTCCAACATATGGATTTGGGAGGGGAACACACATTCGGCGCAGATGATGTTGTCACCTCACCCCTAACAGTTGTCCTCGGTTTGTTTCCCTCCCAGCATCCTCAGCAATTTTTTAAAAGATTTTATTTATTTATTTGACAGAGATCACAAGTAGGCAGAGAGGCAGGCAGAGAGAGAGGGGTGGGGAAGCAGGCTCCGGGCTGAGCAGAGAGCCCAACATGGGGCTCGATCTGAGGACCCTGGGATCAAGACCTGAGCTGAAGTCACAGGCTTTAACTCACTCGGCCACCCATCCATCCCATTCTCAGCAATTTCATCTCTGCCTCCACCATGAGTCCCCACCTCAAAAGCGAACACCAAGGGAGGGAGAAACATAAAGACTGATTTTTTAAAAAAGATTTCACTTATTTAATTGTCAGAGAGAGATAGAGAGCGCATGCACAAGCAGGAGGAGCGGCAGGCAGAGGGAGAAAGATTCCCCACTGAGCAGGCAGCCCCGATGTGGGGCTCCATCCCAGGTCACTGGGATCATGACCTGTGCTGAAGGCAACTGCTTAACCTACTGAGCCACCCAGGTGTCTCCAGACTGATTTTTTTTAAGAGTTTAAAAGGGGTCATAAGAGAGAAAAGGCAATTAACCTTTCTTGGGGGGAGGGGGAGGCTGGGGCCAATATTGACATGAAGTCTGTAATTAAGATAACACTACACAAATTTTGTTACTCACATGGACAAAAAATTTAATTATGTAGACACAGAGGGGACAAAGTAGCCTTTGGTTTAGTGTCCTGAGATCTTGGGTTGCAGGGCAATCCTGGCAGAGAGAACTTGTGTAATAAGTGGCTTGAAAGTATGATTCTCAAATTGTTACAACCAGAATTCTCACACAACTTGGCGATGAACGACTGTCAAAGTCTCATTTAATTTATTATTCAGGAAATCAGCAGAGTGACAGAGCTAGGTCAAAGAATCATTTAAACGGTGTGGAGAAAGGAATGCAGTAATACAAATGTTAATTTAGGTACAAGCCTGGTTGATGTCCAGAAAAATAGCACTTCTTACTCTATTTCAACAAATTAACCTCTTAAATCTACTGCATGTTTTCAGTTTTCACAAGGCCGACTTTATTTCATTGAAAAGATGTCCTTGAATTAGAGATTAAGGCCTTGATACTAACAAAACAGCTGGAGATGTTTGAGCACTTCCTATGTCCCCTGACATTTACTTTTTATTTTTTTTAAAGATTTTATTCATTTACCTGACAGAGAGAGATCACAAGCAGGCAGAGAGAGGCAGGCACAGAGAGAGGGGGAAGCAGGCTCCCCGCCGAGCAGAGAGCCCAACCCAGAGCTTGATCCCAGGACCCCGGGATCATGACCCGAGCTGAAGGCAGAGGCTTTAACCCACTGAGCCACCCAGGTGCCCTGTCCTTGGACATTTACACAGCTGCTCTTATTTAATCCTCAATATCCCCCGTGAGGTAAGCACCGTTTACAGTTGAGAAAACAGGCTTGGCATGGCCAATTCATTTGCCTGAGGTCCTACAGCTACAGAGTGGCAGAGCTAAGAGTGACACTGAAGACACCAGGGATCCACACGAGGAACCCACATGCCATCTATCCTGGGGCCATTTTGATTTTTAACAGCTTTCTTGACATGTCATTTACATACCATAAAATTCACCCAATTAAAATGTACAAATCAATGGTTTTTTGGTTAGTTACAGAGTTCCACAAGCATCACCATAATCTCATTTTAGAACGTCTTCATCACCCCCAGAAAGAAACCTCACACCCATTATCAGTCACTTTAGTTCAGGCTATAATAACAAAGAGCATGGACTGGGTGGCTTTAAAAACATTTATTTCTCGGTTCTGGGGGTTGGGAAGTCCAAGATCAAGGTGCTGGCAGATTCAGTGTTGGGTAAGGACACATTTCTTTGCTTGCCTTCTTTCTGTATCTTCACACAGCGCTGGGCAGTGGGGGAGGGGACCAGGGGAGCTTTTGGGTTTCTCTTTCTTTGTTTTTTAAGTAATCTCTGTACCCAGCATGAGTTTTGAACTCACAACCTGGAGATCAACAGTCGCATACTCTTCTGACTGAGCAAGCCAGATGCCCCTTTGGTTAATTTATTGAGATATGATATGTACATAGAAAGCTATATATAGTTACTGTATACAACTCAGAGATTTGGGAGATAAGTACACATTTGTAAAACCATCACCGTCACTGAAGCCATAGACATACATATCCATCACCTCCCAGTCTTTCTTCCCACCGCCCTTATTATTTGTGTGTGTGCGTGTGTGTGTGTGTGTGTGTGTGTGTGTGTGTGTCTGGTAAGAACACTTAACACAAAACCTACTGGAAAACTTGACAGATCTCTTACAGGAACACGCAGGGGGAACGCTCCTTGACTTCGGTCTTGGCAATGATTATTTTGGATATGACACCAGAAGCACAGGTAACAAAAACAAAAATAAACAAGTGGGACTTCATCAAACTAAAAAGCTTCTTTTTATTTTATTTTTTATTTCTAAGTGATCTCTGAACCCAGTGTGGGACTTGAACTTACAACCCTGAGATCAAGAGTCACATGACCTACCAACTGAGCCAG